AAACAACAGGATCTTGTTTTCATTCGAGTTTGGACCTGGATCCATCTACAGTTTCCCATACTTTCCCCCCCCTCTTTCTGTCATGTTTCGGTCACGCTTCAGGCTCTCCTGTCAGTGTATTTTCCCGCAGCCTCTCAACGTGTTATTTATTTACCGCTCCTGCAAGCTCCGATGTCTGTCTCTTCACTGCTCGCATTGTACCGCATCTCTCTTCTGCCAGTCACTTGTAATCAACCCGTCATTACTTCAGCACATAAGGTCTAGCTAATTAGTCCAATCAGTATTATAATTACAGATTAGAGGGGAATGATCAGGAAGGTTAGGCAAGGTTTTCAGCCTGCGTCTGCACCCTTTCCCAGGCTGAATAACTAGTTACTGTTATTCCCTCCTAGCCCATGACTAAAAAAATTTCTTGGTGAAGTGTCTGTCCTTGATCCTTTTGGCTGAACTGCATCTTGCTTCATCTAAAGTTAAATAACTGTAGCCTGTCTTGTTGTCATGATAATAATAATGGAAATGTCTTAATTTATGTATAGCAGTTTTCAAGTTACTAGAATAAATTGTGAGATTCGATTCAAATCAATCAGATGTAAAGTATTAATAAAATGACGTAAAAGTAAGAATGCAGCCAGAGAGACTGAAAATATAAAACACGTCAGAGAAAAAGCAAGTAGGGGTAACAGTGCAAGAGATTACATTACATTTAGCTGATATCCAAAGAGACCAGGAATTGTATAAGTCAGAGGTCGCACGCCTCTGGAGCAACTAGAGGTAAAGTGTCTTGCTCAGGGGCACATTGGTGGGCAGCAGTGGGGATCGAATGCGGGTCTTCCACACCAAAGGCACGGGTGTTATCGGCTGCACCATTGCCGCCGCTTACAGCATGTTGGATGTTACTGTTATAGAATGTGGAGAGAAAATAAGGGAAGCAATTTCATCTGCAGAATCTTTCAGCATCCATACAGTGTGAGTGTGTATTTGTTGGCTGGTTCTACAGTAGTAGTCCACTAAACTTTACCAAGTCGCTTTAGCAAGAGACCTGCTTTAGTTTAGTTGCCCTACAGTCTGCATTTCCCAATATGAGTGCACACACCACACACCCACACACAGAAAAGACTGTTAAATTTAAGATGCTGTAATGGAATCATGCCCAGCTATAGATTGCCTTGTCTACAGTGCAGAGACATCTGCATAGAGCACTTAATAAACCGTCATTGCTCAGCATTGCATGAGGATGTCTGTCTTCTCTTTTATTGTGCTTTACACAGATTGAGCACCCTGTCATGCTCGCTTTACATCCCATTGTTGAGAGTAAGTAGTTTCTGTCTATAGAGCTGGTTTTCTCCAGTTTTGTCACCATTTTCCATACTGTATATCCCACGCAGTCACATACTGTATTAGACACAACAATCAGCAGTGGGCTTTATGCCACTCATAAAACCAGTAGGATTTTCAGTTCTGCAGAAGAAAATAAGAGAGATGGCTCTGCACAGAATTAGAGAAAATAAATCCCATCACCCACAGCATTGGGTTTTTAACAGTTGATCTCTGAAATGATCCCCGCTCAAGAGAAACAACTGAGTGGGCATGTTTGTTGTTTATGTTTATAGATCTCTTCATTATGCAATAATCTGCCCCGATCACAGTTGTCATATGAGAGACTTATTGTTGAGTCTTAATGAGCTAGAGCTTAAAGCGTCTTTTGTTGTCACTCACCCTTGTCCTGTTGTTCTATTTTCCAAGAGTTGATTCTCTGAATCAGCTCAGCTCAAGTTCTCTGATAAGTTTATTGGTTTCGAGTCAGTATCGGTCTATATACATGGTAGCCGTACTAGTTGTTTAGGTAACACTTTCTATGAAGGCCATCGCTATAATGACTTATGCATATATTTATAACACGATATAATGCTTCCATAAAACATTATAACAGTTGTTATAATCACTTACAAACATGCATTAGGTGCTATAGCAAAGTTCATAAGTCATTATGATCTTTTGATTTAATGTTTTATAACTAATAGTAATACCAGTTTATACCACTGTGCGCCAAGAATCTCTGACCATGTTCCATAGTACATTATAATCATCGACCCTGCCTCATTATAAATACACTTTAGTTACAATTTAGAATTAGTGATATAAACTGGAATAATAGCTTATAGTAATGTTTAATGTTATATAGCATGTCACATAACAAATGTTAGGGAAAAACCTTGTTTATGTTATGTGTAGTTATGAGACATCACGAAGATGATATAACATAATTCATTTTATAACTTTATTTTTACAAGTAGTACTTTGAACAAAAGTACAGCTTTTGATTAAGTCAGATGATTGCTGTGTTTTTTTTGGTGGATTTGTGGCCTTGCAAACATGCATGTTGCCCACAGGGGATTTCTAGAGCGCCCTCTGGTGGACAAACTATGTAACAACAACACTCATGAGCTGATTGAAGGAGATCTGTCTTCCGTCCCTTTTTGAATTGTCCTTTATCGGCTGATATGAACACTGATACCGATTTATTTGCAATAAGCCCATATCAGGCTCTAGTAGAGTAGCAAGATTGAGTTTGGAGAAAACTGACGGAAAGAAGTCAACTACAACTCCCAAGAAGCATTTTTATTAAGAAACATCCAGACATTGAGGGTAATCGTTAGTGCTGTTCCCTGTTTACAGTTTTGTAAAATAACAGACATCACATTTAGTTGGTTGGTTTGGTTGTTTTTTTTCGCAGTTACAACGTATTCTGAATTTGCTACGGCTCTGATTTTCACCTCTAACTGGCTATTTGTGTGGAGAAGCAGAGGCTGATGGGTATACTATTTAGAGACACATCAAACTGATATATTAATCAAATTGTCTCTGAAACAGTCAAAAGTTAAAATAATTAAAACTGATTAGCATAACATAACAATCATGTGTCATCAAATTATCCTGGAAACTGCTGTGATTTCTGTGTTGAAGAACTGACGATATAATTTAATGAGAACATGCAAAAATTGAAACTTCTAGCACCTGCGGCTCTTCCTCATTCACAACTGTATCATGTTTACCCTCTTCAGTGTTTGTCATGCGCTTACTGAATCCCTCTTACTGGGAGCAAATAACATCGTCATCTGCACTCCTTACCTCATAAACTGAGTAGACACATTGACGTCGTCTCTGCCCAAGGTGTTGTGCCGTGTGGCTTTCACTGCTCTGCAATATTGCCACGCAGCTAACCGGTTCTTGTTTTAATAAATGTGGGTAATGGGCAGTCTGGTAAATAGCCCCGATTGCTTTTATCTGCAGGCTAATGACGTCTTGGGCTCCTTTCAATTAAGTTGGGAATGAGGTCACTAAAGGGTTTGCTTCATGGCTCAGCCATTCAGAATCATTAAAGCCTTAGCATGTATTCATTAACGCCCCAGCCACAGGTCCCTGAAGCACATGCTCTGCTTTGCTCTTTTTATCCTCTATAAACTAATTAAGAACTTGTTAATCCTCCACTAACAGTTTGGGCTTTGGATCCTTTCTGCAGAGTCCCTCATGGTTGTGGTTTTGGCGCTGGTTTATCCATGTGCTAGCCAGACCAGTCAAAGCTGAGGTAGAAACTTTAAGGGATGCTTTGTTTTAAAAGTCATATATTGAGCCATTGGGCATTTGTTTCTCTCTGTGTGCTTTATTTGCTAAAGTCCCTTGATTACATCACCATCACGCTTCAGCTGACAATTATAGGTCTAACAAGATATAAAAGGCGTGTACATACCCCAATTTTAGCATCTGTGCAGTGATTGCATGTATGTGAGTAGACTTGATATTTTACTGATTACTTTTAAGTGTAAAGTAATCAATGGCAGGACTGAAAATGCATGTTAGCTGGATGTGTGAACTGACAACCTTTTTAGGTCAGAGGCTAAAAACAAAAGTAGACGGCTCAAGCTAGAAAGCTTGACTTGCTTTTTCTCAGACGTGTTTTATATTTTTAGTCTCTCTGGCTGCATTCTTACTTTTACATCATTTTATTAATACTTTACATCTGATTGATTTTGAATCGAATCTCACATTTTATTCTAGTAACTTGAAAACTGCTATACATAAATTAATACATTTCCATTATTATTTTCATGACAACAAGACAGGCTACAGTTATTTAACTTTAGATGAAGCAAGATGCAAAACTTTACATACAGAGTCATCTATAGCTACTGTCTTGAATTGTTACTGTAATATATTTTGAAAATGTTGTGCAAATTAAATTTTCTCGCTGAACCTAGCCACCTGCTGCACATCACAATGCCTCAAATGCTTTTCCCCTGCACATTATTTGATTTGGTCACGAACAAGAAGCTTTCCCCCTATTGGCCTTATTTTATATCCTGCAGCGATACTTTGTCAAGTGCCATATTCATTCTTTAAAATTCAATTTTCACTTACAACAATATTAAACTACAATAAGTTCATTCGTTTCTGGATTTGTCGGTCGGACCAAAAAGATAATCGCTTCAAGGTTGCTCATAACTCTGACTCGTTTTTTTTTTCCAAACCCAAAGCGTCACTCTGCTGTTGCCAAGCTGTTGTCAACCATGCAATTCGCCAATGTGTCGTGGGCTCCATTTTTATCTGTCACATTCGTTTGCGGGTGAGAGCCGCTGATGCTCGCCTCATTAGGAATTCTCCCCCTCCTCCTCCTGCTGCTGCTGCTGCTACTGCTGCTGCTGCTGTTGGCATGTCTCCTTGAGAACCGAGAGGCTGCGACTCACGTTCGTCCTTGACTGGCACCCACATCGTTCCTTTTCACAAGTTTACCGTTTATACCACTTTTTGATTATTTTTCTGTCCCCCACTTTAGTGTCTTTAGATATTTCTCGTATCTCCTGTTTTTTTTCTCACGTCCTACATATTGTTCTTTTCCATTTATCCTAATCCTTCCTTCGTGAATCACACTCTGATACGCTCCCACGGTAGTCTTTTCACTGTTTCTGACCATGTCTTCTCTCCTCCCCTCTGTCTCTCTGCAGGAGCTGGTGGGCAGTAACCCTCCGCAGAGGAACTGGAAGGGAATAGCGATCGCCCTTCTTGTCATTCTGGTCATCTGCTCGCTGATTGTCACCTCTGTCATCCTGTTGACACCAGGTACACGGCACAGGACGGTGGTGGTGGTGGTGGTGGAGGGTCACGACACTCTACACACATTGCTCTGTTTACATGGCTATTATTATGCACAGACATGCCCATTAGGTTTCACAATCAATCTCACCACGACCAATACAAAGACTAATGCATGTGTGTCTGTATCTCTGTCCTCTGTCCACAGTCTCATGAAACATTTGCTTTGTCACCCACTGTAATGTCAGTTAACTTCCACACTCTTTTTTTTGCTGTAATGGTCACATTTAGTGAAGGTCAGTAAACCTCATTGAAGTCAGCTTGTGCAACATTGCTTTCTTCATAAACGTAGTCCCCATCTGTCTCCTTCACTTAGTCCCTTTTTTCCCTACAGACACACAACACACACACATATTGGACTTCTACAGTTTCCTTAGTTATTTTAAGGCATCGGAGTTTCATTTCAGAGTGACCTTCAGGTTTTCTGTTCACAGATTTACATGAAAGTTTAATCAATAGGCCATCTGTTTATATTCAGGCTCATAAAGCTCCTTGATATGGTTTTATTCGCTGCCAGAGCAGAATCACTCAATACAACTGCCAATGTGTTTGCACTATAATGTGGTTACAAAGACAGTAATCACTGTGCCCTTGTTTATGATTTTCCGTCGCAGACAATTGCAGGTAATGTTTCCTAGGACATCAGGGTCGTGGTGACAAAGCAGAGCAATTATGAAAATATATTCAGTGTGTTTTTTGTACATAATCCTTAGAGATCTTGACAGGTGTCAGAGCAAAAATATCGCCCGTGTAGACCTTAGCACAGTGGCAGGTGTCAAAGCAGCAAGGCCTAAAACGCCTCGTCACCTCCTGGCTGTGGCCTGTTCCTGTCCCGAGGACTCTGTGAACCAGAACTTGCCACTTCCAAAAAAGGCGGGGCCAACGGGAGTCAGGCAGAAAGTGGAGCCCGGGCAGGTGGTGTCTGCAGCTTGTCCCTCGTCCTAATCCGTCCCCTCCCTGCGTCGACTCAGTGTGCTCAAGCTGAACTGCTGTTCCGCTCCAAGTCGCGGGTTCTTGCAGCAACTGTGAGGCCCCCAGCTGACTGCGCATTAAAGGGGCTGTTTGTAGAGGATATTTAGTATTTTAGGGGCTTTGGGGCATTAAAATATGTTCTGGCCTGAGTTGGTGTGGATTAATTGGCTATCCTGACCAACTGAGATGAGCTTCAGGATAATGCAGCTCCATAAATAACTTCTCAAGGGCAGTGGTTTGTTAGTGCAAAGACAGTTTACTCCTTCTTGGGGTTATCATATTTGCGATAAAACTGTTAATTGAATCCCTTGATTCTACAGAGTCAAATAGTTTTGCACTTACCAAGTTAAAGGTTTACCTAAAATGTTCTTGTGCTGTTGTGTCTGGGACGTTCAGCACACAAGATAATTAATTAATTTACTTGACTTTTAAGAATTGAAGTTTGTTAATTATTGGAAATTACCATTTGGTATTTAAGATTTGCATGAACCAGGACACTCCCGTCCGCATACTTTTGTGTACTGTCAGTCTGGGGTTGTTTTCCTGTTTTGAGCTATGGTGCTTCAGCGTATTTCAAAGTTTGTGCCTATGGATTGGAGAAGGCCCTTTTCCGTCAGATGCAAAAATAAAATTTCCCTGTTTGATGTGGAAGAAGTTGACTGGCTCTGCACAGAGACCTGACCTCAACCTCATCCAACACCTTTGGGAGGAATTTAATTTTAATTTATATAGTTATATATAGTATAGCCAGTTCATAACAGACGTTATCTCATTGCACTTTTCATATAGAGCAGGTCTAGACTGTATAAACTGGAATGGCGACTTTGAGCCAGACCATTGCCCAACATCAGTGGGCTCGGCAGAGTGGAGGCTGTTAGTAGTGTATAAATAGTAGAGTTTAAATGCTCGTGGTTTTGAAATTAGATGATCAAAAATCACTTGAGTGTAATTTTTGAGGAGCCATGAAGTGTATTTGGATCGTCTTCCATTTTTCAGCTGCACCACTTGTGCACAATCCACATCTCAGTTGTGAATGGTAGTGATTAAAATAATTGAAGTCATAATAGATATTGTATTTTATTTAAGTGTTCTTAACAACTGAACAAATGCCCCTAGTTTTTGTACACTGTGTACATATATGTGGAGCTTCAGTAAACTTTTTTTCCTATTTAGAATGCTGTGGTTTGCCTAAACCGGGTATTCAAATTACAAATAACCACTGAAAATTGTATGTATTGTGTTGTATTGTATTTCACACACTACTGATGATGATCTCCGAAGATGCAGGCTGTGGCTGTGATATTCTATTCTCTGTGGAAATGTGGACTATTCAGGCTCCTGTCTGGAAAAACTGCTATCTCTGCCTCTTAAGATGAATTCCTCCCTGTATGATTGTAAAGAAAATAGTGAGTAGGGCAAGGAGGCCTTTATTCTCAGGAAGTGATATCATAAGTACATGATTATGTATTACTTTATCAAAACTTCTACAGGAAATCGGTCAAACTGGATTTACACAAAAAAAAAAACTCTTATCAAGGTAGTTGTGTCTGTGATTTAGTCCTAAAGACATAACTGTATCTGAATCAGCTTTATTGCCAGACATGTGTACAAATACAAGGAATTTGACTTAGGATTGTACATTGCTCACGATATGCTTACTTCAATCAGACACAGGCTACAGTATAGAGAACACATATATATATACACACTATAAACAAAAACAATATAGAAAGATTGAGACAATAGTGCAATGAGCAGAGTGCAAAGGATGCAGAAGTATTTTTTCTGCAGTCCGTTGTAGTCTGCTCCTGTCCTTTTTGGTGGCAGATCCAAACCAGACAGTGATGGACGTGCCGAGGACAGACTGGTGATGGCTGTGTAGAAGTGGATCAGCAGCTTCATAGGGCCCGTGTCTACCAAAGTGTTTTTTGCCAGCTGAAAACGCCAGCTGCTCTTCTGAAAACGCCCAGCAGGGAGCTCAGCGTTTTTTCTGACTGCTTTGGTTGCTATGATACATTTGTTGCAAGTGGTTCTGCCTAATTTTACTGGATGTAAAAATGTCAACACAGAGTAGAGTACTTGCTCTGGCCCTTGCTCTGTATGAAAAGAAGGCTGAAGCAGGTAGAGAGACGGGACGGACTCGCCGTATGTGGGTTCATGATTTTGTGGACGAGGAAACATCTCGGCGAGTACCAACAGGACGAAGCCCGGTTCCAGGATAGTAACCGTTGCTAAGGTGTGTCATTTGTCCCGCCCCTCCTCTACTGTGATTGGACAGCTGGGTAAAAAGTGACGGTGACAAGCGCAGCATTTTTGAACATTTTTCAACTCTCGGCAAGTGGAAAAAAAACCGCTCAGCGGTCAGCGCGGAAAAAACGCTCAGCACCTGATCAACCCCCAGTCTGTAGGCCGACTCATCACCGTCCCGGATGAGGCCAATAGCAGTGAACTGCAGGAGTTTGACAGATGGGTCTCCTAAGGTGCAGTCCTTGGTGTAGAGGGACAATAGTAGGGGGGAGAGCGCACACCCCTGGGGGGCGCCAGTGCTAATTATTAAGTAAAATAAATCGGCTATTCTGTTTTGAAAGAAAACATACTTGTTTTAGATCTTGAAACATAGGTAACATTGAAAAAATATTTTAAGTAAGCAGATTTGTTTTTCCCACTGCTTTTAGGAAGAATAAGACATTAAGGGCTCAATTACAGACAAAGACAACTTGATAGGATTGATTGATTTTTCCCATAAGGGCCCAGGAGAGCAAGGTACATCACTAACATTTTGTAACACTGTTAAAGTGCTTTAGGGAGGATTTTACTATTAAAATACTAAATCCGGCAGTCATTTAGAAGAACCTATTTTGCTGTAATTACACATCAAGGAGAAACATTTGGGGAATGTAGGCACCTCACCCTGAGCGGCAAACTGTAGCAGTGCAGCTCATATGAGGAGTTATGAGGTAGCATGTTGTTTCCACTCAGTTAGGAGGGTGTGTTGATGGATGCTCCCCTGCCAGACAGACCAGCCAGTCTCTAACTGCTCCTGACAACCACTTTGTTCTCACACACATGCACACACTCACACACACACACACACACACACACACACGTAGAACTTCGGTCTCCTTCCCTGACAACCTGTGTCTGCTGTAACTGATAGCTCCATATTGCTAAGAGGTTGCTCTGTTCTCTACATCAATACAACTAGGTCAGATGTTCACAATTGGCATCTGGGTATTTGTCAGTCAGCCTGACATCCCTCAGTCTGACAGAGTGACAGCTAACTGAAACAGTGGGTGGATCACATTCATACGTTCATTTGGTGCAGCTGAATACAAGCAGTCACAGAAATGATTGCACGAAGCTAACACATTAAGTTAGATCACTCTCACGACCGACCAGGAAATCTGTTGTACATCTATCGTCTAATATATTTACTTACTCACTGCTATCCCCTTTTTGATTCTTAGCCTTGTGTACAGTAGACGTCTGGCTTTTTAGCCGCAAAATGCTCCACTGTTTTCACCACCTATTCACTTGCTTTGTCTGTGTGCTGTGTGGTGCTGAGCAGTTTTTTAAGCTTTATTGCTGAAAGATCTCCCTGCTGTGGATGAAAACAAAGCCATGGGAACGGTGAGAATTAACCAAAACAGTAGTACAGTCCGGAATAAAAACAATGAGCTCTCACTCTCAGGACAGAAATTTAAGTTCAAAGGTAACTTGTTAGGCTTTTCTCTCATCTAATTTTAGAATGAAACCTCAATTTGATTAGATAGGATCAGCGTTTCCTTTGGAGTCAACACTGCAGACTTACTGTATTTGACTCTGTCACAGAGAGACACCAAAATTATCTTTCAAATCGACAGGTTTAATGTTCGACCACAACTCCCTCGACCACAACTCCCTCTGCCTTTGCGTTGTATTGAAAAGAGGTCGTGCCTAATTAGCGTATAAACTGCTCAAGTGAGCTGACCCCTCTGGGGCTGACAGTTCACTTT